CTACAGGAAATCAGGCTTCTCTCTTAAATACTTAAAACCAGAGTAGTTGGTCTACTATAAATGAGGTTTTTAAAATTCAATTCCCTCTTATTGCTCGTGCAGATCTGAAATGATCTGACCAGATGGCTGGTGCTCTATAATTCTTGGATTGCTCTCATCAGTTGTTGATGATTTGATTTTTTTTTCTTTTCCTTTTTTTCCCTCTCATATGAACGTGTTCCTACACAGGCTTCCTGCATGCTTCCATCAAGTGGACTCTTTGTGCTAATGCCAATATTTCGGAGACTCTCACAGCCACCTGGAAGTCAGATAAGGTCAATAAAGAATCCCAGGTTTGAGCCTGGCTACACTCTGAGCCTGCATGGGGCCAAAATGCAGCACTGGTGAATGACAGGATAAGGGGGACTTTGCCCAGGCTGCGTCCTCATCTCCACTTCTCCTCCAAGTCCCCAAGGAAAGAGAGGTAGCAAAGATATATTTTTTAAATTGACAACTACAGCCACTTATTGAATATGTCCTATGCATCAGGCCCTCTGCAAACAGCTTATACATGTTAACCTTATTTCATTCTCACACAATCTCTATGAAGTAGACATTTTCATCTCTATTTTCAGATGAGGAAATGAAGGTTCAGAGATTCTGAGGAATCTGATCAAGGAGACAGAGATCAAAAAGAGAACAGCAGGCTGTGCCTGGTGGTGCACACCTGTAATCCAGCATCTTAGGAGGCTGAGACAGGAGAATCACAAGTTCAAGGCCAATCTCAGCAATTTATCAAGGCCCTAAGCAACTTAGTGAGACCCTGTCTTTCAGGGCCCCAATGAGATCTCAGGGATAAACAGAAGGCCCTGCTGGTCTTGCCACACCATTCTCTGTGCACTCACCGAACATAAAACACTTCAACCAGGACATCTGAAAATGCTTTCATTGTCTTTTTTTCCACGTCTGTGTATCCTGTGCAAGATAATAAGCTATTAGAGGGAATAGATCATGTCCTTTTTTGCTCCCCAAAAGACAGCATTGCCAAGTGGCTAGTAGTTGGGGCCTACAGTCAAATGACTGGGTCTGAATTCTGACTCTGCCATTTATTAGATGTTTGGCTAAGTTATTTCTTCTCTGAAACTCAGTTTTGACTGTAAAAATAAGGATAGTCATAGCATCTGCCCTCAAAGGATGCCTGGCAGAGTCAATGCTAAGTAAATGTAAGCTATTATCTATATCTCTGGCTACAAGTACAGTGCCTGGCACAAAAATAGGATTTCAGAAAACATCCAGGAGCAGCAGCCCTGTTGAACCTGGCTGTGATTGGCATTCTGTAACAACAAGTGCACAGGCATAAAGTCCTRGTGTTCAGGGGTCCTCAGCCCCAGGACAAATATATGAATTCCCTGCCTAGAGCCAACAGGATTTGCCAGCAAACAGCTTTCCTCTACTTGCTTGTGAACAGATGATGCTGAATTCAGTCAATTGCTTGCTGGGCCTGAGAAGGTGAGGCAGATCCCAAAATAAAACAGAAGAAAGAGACAGGAAAATCACTTCCAGGAATAAGCAACTCTAACGAGAATGCTGACATTCATAAGAGAAGTAGGCAGACTTTGGGAAAGTGACCTGCAGCTACTGTGGCACTATGTGGCTGAGATCCTATTCCCACCTTTCCTAGTGGGAAAGCCCACAAAGTCATGGTTTGCTCCTCTGATGTGCCAGGTTGCAGTAGGCAGTCTGGAAATCTGCCTTCAAATGAGCCCTGCCTACCACCAAAACAGCCCAGGTATCCAGTATCTCTCCCCTGGAGGCCTAGGGAAAACCATGCTRTAGTTCTCCCTTCAGAGACCTGAGGGGACAGAAAGTACTGAACTGGTAAACCAAGACTGGGGGTCAGTTATTGTCAATATAAACTTGCTGTTTTCTTAAAAGATCCCCAAAGAGACTTCTAAGCAAGAAATGCTCTGCTAACCCCTTCTGTTCAGGCTTAACCTTACTCCCTCATCAAAATCGCTGTTGAAGGAGTACAGAAGGACAGCTCATAGCCATGGAAGTCTCTCCTTCACATCCTACATTCCCCAGGTAAAGCCACGGGGACAGGAAATTCACATGCTCATGCACTTACACTGGCATCCAATTCCACAGTTGAGTTGAAGGGGTGGTGTGAATGAAGAATTAACCACTGAAAACTAGAAAGCTGTGTACTCAGTGATGCCTTCATGGTAGGAATTGTGCAGAGGACTTTGCATCTCACTCCACATAACAGCCTTTAGCAGGCTGGGCAGGACATTTCCTCCAGGTCAACCAAAGCGCAAAAGGATTCAGGGACTTGCCCAAGATTCCCTAAGTAGCAAAGCTAGGTTTTGAATCTAAGTCACTAAATTATACTGCCTCCCCATTTACCTACCTACCCATCAAAGAAGTTTCCAGGACTGGCTACATTCCTTTTAACCTTTATAAAGCTTGTTAGAAGCTCTCAGAGAGCATTCGAAACAAGGTGAATTAAGATTATACTCCAGTTGAATGAAAGCACTAGCTCTCCACACAATTTCCTAATAGGATACACATAAAACACCTCAATCCTATACTTAAGAATCACTTGTCTGCTTCCACTTTCCTGACCCTTTAGCATAGACCCTGAATCACTCCAAGTCAGACACCGAGACCTGAAAAGGCCTACACTCTCACGAGCCTTGCCTTGAAGCCTAGTGAAAAACATTCTTCTGTGAATGGGGCAGACATGACTGGAACCAGAATTACTTTGTCCTCCAAGCACAGGGCCTCAGTGTACTGAACTGCAAAACACCAACCTTTGGAGCAGCTTCAAGAGAATTTTGTGCATAAAAATTTACAAGGAGCTCTTGAGAAACTATAAGCTAGAGGGTGATGTCAATGGGGCATCAATTAAATGTAAAGTCTGTGTTCCACTCCAGTTTCTCTGGAAGGTTCTCAAATCCCACAGCCTATCCTTGTCACACAGGTTCTGGGTCTTCCTCCCCAAGGATACATAGATGGTCTTTGCTTTATTTTTTGTATATGGGTTTATTTGTTTGTTTGGCTTTGCTTGTGATTGAACTCAAGAGCAGTCTATCAGTGAGCTACATCCCCAGCCCTTTTCATTTATTATTTTGAGACAGGGTCTCACCAAGTTGCTTAGAGCCTCACTAAATTGCTGAGATTGGCCTTAAACTTGTGATTCTCCTGCCACGTCCTCCCAATTTGCTAGGATTACAGGTATATGCTACTGTGCCCAGCATCCTAGTCCTTTTTATTTTTTTTTTTTTTTGAGAGAGAGAGAGAGAGAATTTTTTTTTAATGTTTATTTTTTAGTTCGGTGGATACAACATCTTTGTTTGTATGTGGTACTGAGGATAGAACCCAGGCTGCACGCATTCCAGGCGAGCACGCTACTGCTTGAGCCACATCCCCAGCCCGCTTTTTAAATTTTTTATTGTAGAACAGCATCTTTACATTGCCCAGGTTGGCTTTGAACTTGTGATCCTCCTGGATCAGCCTTCTGAGTCACTGGGATTACAGGTGGTGCCACTGTGCCCAGCTCGGAGTTCTTTAGCTATAAGCAGTAGTCCCATGACCCAAAAGGCTAAGCAAAGGCTTGTGGTCAGAACTATCAACCTTATTCTGTCTGCAGTACTGACCAAGGCCTTGAAGGAAGCTACCGACTCAGCCCAGGAACAAATTGAGTGGAAGTAGGGGGCCACAGAACAGGGGACTCCATCTGCTCTAGGCACTTGCCTGATTAAAAGTGGTACAAGCAATGCCACATAAAACCAGTGAATACAGCCCACATTTTCCCCTCTACACCCTTAGCAGCCTCTCTAGTTTTAGTTTTCAAGGACCAAAGGTATGGAGGGCGGGGGTGACTCAGTTCTCAGGGAAGTTGGGGGAAGGCAATCAGAAGTTGGATCTGCTGGAACCAATATCTCTGTTCCTAAACCTCCCTCTGCCCAACACCATTAGCTCCCACTTGGCTTCTTTGGTGCTTCATCACTCTTCCATGGCAGCAACTACCCGTATGCAAGCCCAGCAGGAATGATATTGCTACGAGAAAGCAGGCTGGCACAGCAAATGCTATCCCTGCCAGCACAGCAGCAATGGGGGCAGTGAGGACATGGTGATGAATATCAGCAAGGAGCTGATGACACTATACTGTGGCCATTGCCAGGGTTTCCCATCTACCTTGCCACAGTGAAGAATGCAAACATCCTACTCCTGAGAATAAATAGTCCCAAGTGTTAACACAGTGTGCTCCAGCCAAGGGCAACAGAGACAGGAAAGGAGAAGTAAGAGGAGAACAGATCTAGGCTCTAGAGTCAATTATAAGACAAGTTATTTAACCTATCTGAGCTTCAATGTTTTCATCAGAAAATTAAGATAATAATAATTCCCATTATTATAAATATTGGACAAGATTATCCACATGAAGCACCTAGCATAGTACCTGAATATGTTAAACATTCCAAAATTGCTAATTATTTTCATTATTAAGCCCTGCACTGAGGCTCATGATAGAGTTAGAAAGTTGTTCCTTCTGAGAATGCCCCATTTAAAAATCAGGCCAGGGCGAACCCCTTTTTCTTGGCACAGGTTCTTTTAACAACAGAACACTCCTGCCCCACACTGGTACTCAGGACTCCTCTGTGAACAATATTTCAACAGCACTGAGCTGAGCAGTGAAGCCCAAAATAGCATTTGCAGAGCAAGGCACATGTCACTGCCTCTGCGGTGCTTCAGAAGTGCAAGGAAAGAAAGTTTTCAATCACTTGCTCAGAAAGCATGGCCACCCACCACCTGCTTTCTTTCCTGGGTAGTTACATGCTGCAAACTCTGTTCTGCAGGAGAAAGAAGATCCCCAATCCCGACAGCAACACTACCACTCTGATGGACCACACTATTCCTTCCTAGCAGTCCAGAAAGTRGCTACTACTGTAGCCCTGCAGGGACAAAGGACATACACAGTTTGAATTCTGAATTCAAGGGGAAAGGACTGAGTCTGGTACCTGGCTGAAGGGCCTGCCAATCCTGGGTCGGGTGAAACACCTCCAGGACCTCAGTGTCCAGATCCTCCTCTGCTTTGGTTTCCTTTCTCTCTGATTCTTTGGTGCTGCTCTTCTCTGAGTTGATCAGTGCAAACTCATTCTGAGAAAAGAAAATACTGGGCATGACTCTCCACACAAGCGGTCAGAAAAGGAGAAAGAAAACAGCCTGCCATGGTACACTCTTCTTCATTCGCTTCTCCCCTTCTCACACACATTTGAACACTTACAATTCTTTTATATATATAAATTTTTAGTTGTAGTTGGACACAATACCTTCATTTTATTATTTATTATTTATTTATTTTTATATGGTGCTGAGGATCGAACCCAAGGCCTTGCACGTGCTAGGTGAGCGCTCTACCACTGAGCCACAACCCCAGCCCCTGAACACTTGCAATTCTTTTTTCAAGGTCAGCCTCAGAACTAGTATGTGTAAGGCACTATGGTTAAATGAACACACATGCTTTCATATGGTATTTCTGCAAATGTACAAGGAGCAACTCCAGAAGATTTCATATAACCTTACAAGGATTAAGGAATATACTAGGGAGAAGGGTTGGCAAGTAAGAGCCTTCTACTTTCTATGTGACATGTTACTATACTGTTTAATGTTTAAAACTCATATAGATTACATTAACAATAATAAAAAAAGTACTTATAGCTGGGCATGTGACACACACCTATAATTCTATAAATTTAGGGGACTGAGGTTAATGGACTACAGGCAACTTAGCAAGACCCTGTCTCAAAAACAAATTAAAAGGGCTGGGGATGTAGTTAAGTGGTAGAGAGCTCCAGGGTTCAATTCCTAGTACCATATTTAAAAAAAAAAAAAATTATAAAAGGGAAAACAGGGGGCTGGGGATGTGGCTCAAGCGGTAGCGCGCTCGCCTGGCATGCGTGCGGCCCGGGTTCGATCCTCAGCACCACATACCAACAAAGATGTTGTGTCCGCCAACTAAAAATAAATATTAAAAATTCTCTCTCTCTCTCTCTCTTCTCTCTCTCTCTCTCTCTCTCTCTCTCTCTCTCTCTCTCTCTCTCTCCTCTCTCCTCTCTCTCTAAAAAAAAAAAAAAGGGAAAACATATAAATGGGTGAGTAGGGACTCAAATGGCTACCTCATATGTACAAAAGCCAGCAATTGAGGCCCAGCTGATTATCAAGCAGCCCAACAGGACACCGCACAAACCTTGGCAATTCCAGTAGATACAACAGGGCAAAAATGACTCCTGTGACATTTTAAACCACGAAAGAAGTGAGAAGGTAAGAATACAGCTGGCCTGAGGGAGTAAGATGCCCCTAAGTTGGAAATTGCTTCCTAAAACTAGCTTCTTTCCACTTCATGGAGAGCATAGAAGAGTAATAAGACGGACTGCATGGAGCACTCCAAGACTTTAAGAGTCAGAGATGCACAGTAAACATCAAATATTATTCATTTTGCTCCATCATGGCCTTCCATCTTTCCTATCCCGTTTTGAAACCTCTTCTTGCATAAAAGCAGTAAGGTCTCAGGAAACTGGAAGGAGAGGGTTCCAGAGCTACGGAAAATTGCATTAGGGAGAGCAAGGAGGAACCCATACTAGCACACAGCAAGTCTGTTTCAGCTCCCCTGCTTCCTTTGTCATAACTTTTTCTCCATCTCCCAAATCCTCCCCTGATAAGAAGTATATTTCTTGGAGTCCTACAAAAAGCCTAAGTCTGGGCTGAGTACTTCACACAGATCTCATTTTGAACTCTCAACTCCTCTAACACTGTCTGGGAAATGCTATGTGCATGCATCTCTTCTAGTAGTATTCCAGATCCAGAAAGGAACTCCTGCTTTCAATTCCTCTAACACTGTCTGGGAAATGCTATGTTCATTCATCTCTTCTAATAGTGTTCCAGATCCAGAAAGGAACTCCTGCTTACCTGGGTCCCTCAGGGTCTGATCTTTAATTAGGTGTCAAAGAAAAGGTTAGGGTGCTAAGGTGTTGATGATGACAATGCACAGCCCTTCCAAGAATTTTCATGTTTAAAAAGAAATAAAAGCATGAAACTAAGATGGCAGAATTTCACAGAAAATATCTTAGGCAAAAAGAGGCCCTCAAATTATTTTACAAATAATGAGGGCACCAATTATAGCACAATGGTTAAGAACTCAAGCTCTGGATCAGATAACACTAAGTCTGAATCCCAGTTTCTTGTAACTCTTAACTTTCTAACTCAGTTTCCACATTTGTAAAGTGGAAATAATAACAATATCTAGCTCATACATTAGATGAAGAAGTACAGTGTAAGCCACCATCCCCGAGTACATGGTAGCCATTACTATTAAGCAATCTAATAGGCAGTCCTAGGTTCCAGGTAAGATGAGTCTGTGCTGTGGCATTCAATAGTAATTACACAATACACCATTCATTCAGGCAGGTCAGTCTGAAATGGTGGTCACCCGTGTAGCCTGGCCCTTCAAACTTCTATCTTTTCAACTTTAAGATTGCACAAAACTAAGCTCAAAAGAAAATTAGGATCAGAAAAGCAGATGTGCTTGTGAGACTAAAGAAATGACAGGTTATCAGAAAGACATGGAGATCAAGGATTCCGACAACCAAGTTTCCTGAGGGCAAGCACTGCATTGGTCTCTTTCATCACTGTATCTCCCAAGCCTAGCGCAGTTTGATGAACAAATGAATGAATAAATGCTCCCTTCCATAGGTGGACATGTCTTCTGAACCTTAGAATGAGGGAAGCCCAAAATACTTCAGACTTCTAGAGGCAGGCACTAACCCCACATTCTAGAACAAATACTACCTTGTCTAGGTACTCAGCCTCCATCAGAAGCACCAGAAGTACCTGAAATCTAGGTACTCAGCCCCTGCCAGAAGCACTAACCATAGAATTTGAGAACAACAATAAAAATTTACCTCAGAGGTGTGTCAATCAAATACCTCCAGGGAACAGGCAAGAATGGATATAAATGAGCGAAGTGGGCCAGGTGTAAACAACAGGGAGTGGTGGACTATGAAAACTGCAATTCTCCTACCCTAACTAAGGAAAGCAGCTGCTACCCAGCTGGTTCACCAGAGCCAACAGGCATTCAACTTGAAGAGAAACATAAATTCAGTTTTTATGTGAAATGTTCTCATTTTGAGAACACTAAGAGGGCCAAACTAAACATCTATGCTCCAAATTGCACCTTTTGCTTTACTTTATCAATAGCTAACTCCTAGAGGATGTAGCTTTAAGCTAGAAAACAAGTCTCATCATTAAGAGAAGCAGAAAAAGACAAGGAAAATGGTAAAGATGAGAAGATGGCAGGAAACCTTTCAAAATCCAGGTAGACCTAGTTTTCATGCTGATGATAAGAGAAATGAAAGTCTCTTTTTTAAGATTTCACCAACAAAGTTAACAGAGGAGGTTCAAGAAGAGGAGTTAGCTGGGCACAGTGTACACACCTATCATCCCACAATTTAGGATTGCAGGAAGATTGCAACTTTAAGGCCAGCTTTGGCAATTTAGCAAGACCCTTGGCAACTTAGTGAGGTCTGTCTCAAAAATAAAAATTTTAAAAGGGCTACGGGGCTGGGGTTGTAGCTCAGTGGTAGAGCATGTGTGAGGCACTGGGTTCAATTCTCAGCACACCATATAAATGAAATAAATGTCTGTCAACAATTAAAAACATACTTTAAAAGCGGGGCGGGGGGGACACTACGACTATAGATCAGTGGCAAAGCATCCTTGGTTCAATCTCTAGTACCAAAAAACAAAAAACAACAACAACTGGAGGTAGGGGTGTTAGAAAGAGACCAATGAGTGTGCCCAGCAAGATAGCTGACAAGAGGTGCCTGGATGCTTTCCTCCAGAACACAGGACCAAAACAAAAAAACAACAGCTGAGCCGGGTGTGATGGCACATCCCTGTAATCCCAGTGGCTTGGGAGATTGAGGCAGGAAGATCGTGAGTTCAGAGCCAGCCTCGCAACTTAGGGAGGCATTAATAAACTCAGAGACCCTGTCTCTAAATAAAATATAGAAAGGGCCTCCCAGAGTCACCAGTTGAGGTGTTCACGGAGGACCGAGCTAGCTTGCAATAAATGCCTCTTTGCTGCTTACCAAATAAATAAATAAAATACAAAAAGAAAAAGGTCCGGGGATGTGGCTCAGTGGTTAAGTGCTCCTGGGTTCAATCCCCAGTACCCCCACCCCAAAAAAAAAAAAAACACTGTTCCACCCGAGTGTTTGAGACACAGCTCTGGAGTAGGGATGTGAGAGAAATTGTGGAACACGGAAATACACGATGACCTTGTAAAGAAGGGAACTAACATACAACATCTACTGTTCCATCTCTCAAAATCAACCCTGAATCAAGAAGGACTTTGCTTGGTGAGGAATGGGTAGCCAGAGGTTCAGAGCAGTTCCCACTCATACCACAAACATCTGAGGCATATATTATTGGATAAACCAGCAGCCCCCACAAGCACTGAGCACAGTGGAGGGGAGCTGCCAGACTAACAAATTGCTCAGGCCAAATTGTGCATTCCCCTACCAAGGTTCCTGTTACACAACGCCATCTTGAGACTCCTCCCATCTGGATCCTTGTGAAGCAGCTGGCATCTGCCATCAGCAACTCAAGAGACCCAGCTCTGGAAGCAGCCAGGCAGCCCCCAAGAAGTAACCTGGCAGCCAGCACTGAGTGGCTTGGTCTTCTGAGGCCTCTAAGAAGGAGCCAGGAGGCCAAGTTCATCCTGCTGCAGCCCCAAGAAGCAACTAGATGGCCCATTCTTAGAAGCGCGGAACATTGAGGTCCTAAGAAGCACACAGGCAGCCTCCTAAGAAGCACACAGGCAGCCTGCCCTAATCAGGTGAATCCCAGGCTCTTGAACACACATGGGCACCCTGCCTGGACCCAACGGTAGAGTACAGCCCATGTGCCCAACTACTAGGCATACTGCAACAAGTCTTTTATTTTCCAAATCTTTGGAAAGATAAGTATCTAGACCTAAGAAGCTCAAAGAACCCCTAATATATCAAATCAAAAAAGAGTCTGTCCATGGCAAACTGTCAAAAGTACAAAACAAGGAGAGAATTCTAAAACCAGTCACACCTTGCATGCACAGGCCCACC